ATTCTCCCGACAGCTTGTTTGTTTGTTTATTTATATATATTTCAAATTTGGTCACCACCCATCTCACTAGGAAGTGACTCTGGGCAGTTTACAGTACAAGCAAAAAATAAATATTAATTAAAATACAATAAAAATACAATAAAAACCATATTCATACATACATAAATAGTATCTTCCAAGGTGCTGCTGGTAGAAAGGATATTAAAATAGAGGAGCAACTTCAAGGTGCTAACCATCCCCACAGTTGGTTGCCCTTTTTGTTGCCCCATGCAAGTTGGCAGAGCCAGGTATTAACTGCTTTCTGGAAGGTCAAGAGAGTAGGGGCCTGCCTCACCTCTGGGGGGAGGGTATTGCATAGATTGGGGGCCATGGCAGAGAAGGCTCTCCTGGGGCCCACCAGTCAACATTCTTTCGTCAACGGGGTCTGCTTGACTGGGTGGGACAGGTTGATATAATGGGGTGACACGGTCCCTCAGTTATAAACTTTATGTTAAAATATTATTTTAAAGAGCTTTAAAAATTAAAGGAATTTAAGAGGCCCATGAGAATATTTACAAAGTGATTTGAGACCATAATAACTATAAAATAGTGCTGGGAGAAGGATCCCACAACCAGAATGCCCGTATTGGCTAAGCTTCTTCTTCCACCCATACTTGGGTGGTATATCCAGAGAAGGGTCATTTAATGTTTTAAATGTCAAAAACAGCACTTTGAATGAAATAAGAAATATTCTAGAAACCAACAAAGATAACAAAGCATTTGTGTAATATGTCCAGGTCATCTATTCCCAATTCTAGCAGGCCATTTTTAAATTATGTGGGTCTTTGGAGGCCACTTTCAAACACATATAAAAAAATCCAGCCTAGAAGTTTCAGAACATAGATAAACTGAGGCCATAGTACGTTTCATATTATCCTGAGTTGACAAAAACTGTTCCAAGCCACTTGACACTGTATGCAGAGTTGCATCAATGAGCACCCGTCTCTGGGTTCCTTTACAGAGAGTCCAAGCTCAGCAATAAATAGAAATAATCATTTGTAGTACCACCTCTTATCTCTATTGAGTCTCATTTTATTGGCTGGCATTGACTCTGTTTTACTGAGATTTGATACTGGCAATTCTTTCCCAGCTCTTTTCAAACTTTTAAACTATTTTATACATTAATGAAGCTGAGAAAGGTTTCCATATCATCACCTAATGTACATGATTATATAGAATTGTATAGCAATTAGTTATGCAGGAGTAGCTCCTCTATCATTCTAGTTAGAGAGCAATTGTTTCCTTTAAAAAACAACAACAAGAATTATTAGAGTTAGGAGATAAGCTTTAGAATAATAATCAGGGTACTTTTATTCAAAACTAAGTGTATTAAAATATCTGAAAAACTGAGAGATGTTTTATGTAAAAAAAATCACAGTAAATTACACGAAAAAACATTACTGGTAAGTTCTACTGTTATAATAGTGTTATATTGGAATACAAATTTATGAGTATTGAAATAATGGATTAAACAGGTATTTCTATTTCCCTGTAACTGACCTGGTTCCCATACATAAATGAACTGGTTGCCCATAAATCTGCACAGTTTCACACTTGAAATGGCTTTAGCAGTTTTGAATGATATCCCAGGGACTTGGGACTCAGCCAGACTACGAGGGTGAAGTCATGACTCAGATAAATGGATACATGTTTGGGCACAAGGATATTCCTGTATTCTATTCCAAGTGAAAGAATGGGGAAAAGATCACAGAATGTATGAGAATTCTTATTGCAAGACCTAAATATAAGATGTAAAATTCCAGCAGAATTCACTAACCTATTCTTATAATGAAATTAAAGGGTGGTTTAAATGGCATCTTTGAAGGTCTGAGTGAGCACTGAGGATATTATATCTTAATAAAAGGGACATAAATGCAATTCTGCAAGATGAAGTTTTTGATGGCATAAATACCAGATAGCATACTGGATGTTGGCAACAGAAGGGGCTTCAATAAAAGATAATTGATTTTCCAACATTGTATAACTTGTTCTTTGGTACAAGCAGAGCAAATATGTTACATCAGTATGAAAAAATAACTAGCATCTTGTATTTCATTACCTTGTAAGGAAGGAAGGAGAGGTGGTTCTGTGTATGGAGATTGGATAAATGGTGAGAACAGTTATTGAGAACTGAGAACTATGTAATCCTTTCCCATCATGACTCAGGTTTGTTGTACATTTGCTGGGAAACATTCAGTAATAAAGCTGCATTACATGTCTGATAAATAATAAGTTAAAAGAGAGATGTACAGAGTTACTGTTTTGTAGGTCTCAATTATATAAAATAAGAGTAGGCAAACTTTTTTAGCCAAGGGCACATTTAGAGTTTTTTGATACCATGTTGAAATCCTGAAATGGCTGCCAGGGAGACTTTCCTATTGGTTGCCATGGTTGGCACTGCTAGTTACAAAGCACCCATTTGTAAGATGATTGATTAGCGGTGCTCTCTGCAATCTCAGTGGAGCATTTGCAGCATTTACAGGCTTTGCTGCAAATGAACATGACGGTAGAAGCTGGTGATTTGTTTTGTAGCATGCTAGGTTCCCATTCAATTTCTCTTATAATTAAAAGAATCTTTAGGAAACATTGAGTGGAGGAAGGACCCTGATGGGCCCCATTGAAAGGATCAGTGCACAATAGAAGGGTACCATATTGTCTACCCTCGATATAAAGGCATATCTGTTGTTTTATTTTTTGCCATTGCAAAGTATGTATTTTTTTTGGAATTTGGTTGTAATACTGTTCTGTTTTCCACATCAGCATGGGTAATTCCATATCACTTATGCCACTTGTATCCTTCAGCATCTTATTGGACATGTTCAAAATTTCATACAGTGGTTTTAAAGTAATTCCAAAGAAGTGAGCAGAGAAGGAATTGGAATGATAGTTATATTCACAATATTTTAAAATCAGCATGTATATGAAGAAAATAGCAAAAGAATCCAATGAGATTATCCTGTTATAATCACCAGTTATTTACCTGAAATATAATTGTTCATCTCAAGTGCCTTCTGAAAACTTTCTGAATAACTATCTTGAATCAAATATTTATCTTGGACTCTTTTGTAAGTGGGCAACTGGAGCAGTTCTCAAAGCAGTTGTGCAAACCTCCTTGGAAATTGCCCCCCTTTTTATGATACAGCTCATTCCAGTTATTTAGCCCTCTACCACTTTATTAAGCTTCCAAACAATGGTAAAGTCTTGACTCTTAGGAAAGATTGGAAGATGCAGAGGTTTATGATATGTTACATAGGTGTATTTTCTGGACTGATACTATGTTTTGGCATTTTGTAAGCTGCTCAGAGCCTATGGCAACTGAGCAACATCAAAACAATAAATACTCAGGTGTCAGGTTTTTTGCTTTCACTATAACTAATATCAGACGTGGATTTAGAATTTGAATAGCTTTCTCAGATTCAGATGGTAAGAAAAGAGTTATTGTTTCCAACATAGTAATGGTGAAAACTATCCCAATTGTTTCACTGCCTTCTGAAATCACCCTTCCAGAAATACCACAAAATTTTTTTAAAAATCCTCATCCCAATCAGGAAATGGAAAACTATAAAAGGGTGGGGGTGGGGGGATGAATCCAAACCTGTTTTAACCAAAGCAATCAGGACAAAACTCTCTTGTCAAATGTCTAACTTTGTCCAACCCTTACGTCACATCAAAATAGATCTGGATAATCCAGCTAATATAGAAACACACAGTGGAAATTTCCTAGTACAAGGTGCAAGAAAGGTGTATTTTAGGCATGAAAAAAGGCTTGCGTATTCTTAACAAGGCAGAAT